GTTGGACAGCAGTCGATGCTACGAGTAGACAAGAAACTAATCATCCCGTGTTCCCCTCATTTTCTCTTTGGTATTCCATCTTCCACTCCTTGACAAGATAACGAGGGTCTGACATTTAATTCCTATTCAATTTCGTGACTTAAGCCATAAACACAGCCAGACAAGGAATACCAGGAAGGAAGTGCAAGAGCCGAGTACACCCGAGGTTCAATCACAACACCAAAAAACAATAAGGTCGACCTTAATCAAATATACTTTAATTCATCGAAATCACCCGCGAGGATTAGCATTTACCATCAAATTTTACAGCAATTTTACTTCTACAACGAACCTACCAACACATCTGCCACTTCATCGATCATACACACGATTCAGAACAGGAAGGGAATCCACTAAAAACCACCTTGAGACATATATCCGCTTGGACGGATCTAATGTACTTGAGCGGGTCACTACATCAACAGCAGCCGCCTCCATACATTATATCGTCCCACGATTTCCCTCCACGCATGAAATACATGATCCACAATCTTCCATCTGATATCTCTCAATACTAATAGCCTTGAACTCCTCAAAGGTCAAGCAATAACACGACAGCCACCCACCGGTCTATAAATACTCATAGATCATACGGCACACAACGACCTTGAACCGTCGACATCAACATCAACATCACACAACCCATCTCATCCAGAATGCCACCTCCAGCCCAACAATCCCGTCCCTTTCTCTCAACTTTCCTCGCCTCCTTCCGCTCCTCCCAACTCTCCTCTACTCCCATCATAAGCAACAATAGCTCTTCCTCGCACCAAAAACCTGCTCACTCACATTCACATTCGCAATCCACACCTTCACAACCGCGCCAAATAAGTACCAGCACCAAGTCGAACGCTACATCAAGTGCTCTAAGAGGAATCGATCGAAATCGTGGAACGAACGGCGGAAGTAGTCCTGTGGGAAGCTACGATTCGAGTCCTAGCCCCGCCGCCTCGAGTTATCTGAATCAAAATCAAAATGCAAATGCGAACTCAAATATATCGAATCCCACATCTCCAACCTCAAGTTCGAATCAAATCTCAAATCAAAATGCACCATACCATACAAACAAATATGCAGGCTTTAAAACGTCAGCAGATAGGAGAGGAAGCGATAGTAGCTCGGAAGGCTTTCGAGATGTAATAGGGAAGGAAAAATGGTATATTGGGGGACGCACGCAGGGCGGAGAGGAGAGATACTTCCAGCTCGGAGTGATAAAGAGGAGAAGGAGTGGAGGGGAGATAAGTTTGGATCGATTGAGTTTGTGATGGAGTGTGATGTGAGATAAGGAAAGGAAATAGGTATGACATAAATATCCCAACATAATATGACGCTCAAGGTGTCTATTTTCGGAGATAATTTAAATATTCAAAGTAGACTCAGTCACTTGGATGATTTGAACGTTCGAAATGGATGCAACAAGAGGACCTCTTGTTAGTCTACAGTCTGGACGATGAGGAATCTCGTGCGTAACTGTGTATCTTGTTCAGTGGAGCAACGGGCGAATGCATCGGGGATTTGGAAATAAGAATATTAAAACACCATACGAAGACGGCGTATACTCCAGTGCCCGAAGAAGATTGAGAATAGGGCTACTGCTCATGAACGGGCGTTGGTGATGGGATACGGAAGGGGTGTTGGATCATCGGAACCGGATTGGTTACACTATATTACATCATATTATAAACATATGGAACAGAACTGAATATGGGGGATTGGGGCGTTGGTAACATTATATCAGAATGGAACTTGCAAGACTCCAATCAGATAAATAAATAGGAATGAAATGAAAAAATAATATTGAATCAATACTGTATATGAGTTGGCTGGGAAGTGAGTTAGTAAGTCAGAGAGTGGGTGAGCGCAGGAAATTAGGAAAGGTGGGTATAGCCTGGTGAAGCAGTGAGATGATACAGAATAGAAATATGTCCTTCAAGGTTTATCTATATCTATCTTACAACTATATGAACATGCTCCACGACAACAACGTACATTCGCGCTCTAAATCGCTAACTGATTACATTCCATAACAACCCGATTTATTCTTGAATCCCTCTCCCAACGGATCTCTTAAACTCCTCAAACTTCTCCCCTCCAGCTTCCACACCCCTAGGCCTCAAAAACCATCCACCCCTTAAAAACATGTCTACCACATAAACCTCTGCACCCTCCCCGGCTCTTGCGTCCACTCAAAGCCTCGATACAAGAATATATACCCTGTAACCCCGTTGATCAATAGATACCATATCGTCTCGGCGTATAAACGGATATTGATCTTGGGGGAGGCGGAAATTGTGAGGGTGGGGAAATGTAAACGCAGGAATATGAAAGGGAGGATGAAGTAGCGGGGTTCGACGAGGGGGGCGGTGATGAGGGAGAGGGCGGTGGTGAGGAGGAGGAGGAAGAGTGTTGAGAGGGGGGTGGTGGGGAGGAGTGAGGAGGAGGTTGGGGTGGGAATCGATGAGGGGTTGTGGGTTTTGCTGGGTGCGCCTTTCTTGGGTGGTGATGTATATTCGGATGGAGATCCAGAAACGGTTTTGAAGATTAGAAAGAAACAGAAAATGTAGATGGGTGCGAGGAGGTAGCGGATGAGAGGATGTCGGAGGATGCTGTATCGGAATACGTAGAAGATGTAGTGTCGATTGTCGGCGAGGGTGAATGGATGGATTATGGTGTTGTATTTTATGATTACGAGGGAGCTGAGGAGAGATGCCAGGATGAGACTGAAGGTTATGAGGGCCCGGATTTGCGTGTTGAGAGAGGAAGTCAGAAATTTGGATGGATGGAGGATATTGTCGATTGAGTTCAGGAGGAATGAGAAGAGAGCCGGGATGAGTAGTGGAAATGAGAAGAAGGCAATAAAGGGCCAGAGATACAGGAGTTGTGAGAGGTGAATGGTAGCGACGTGGTTTGATTTATCACCTAGGACAACACCGCCATTGATGAAGACGAAAGCGCCAAATGTAATTAGAAGTGAGATGTGGGGAACTAATCGGAGGAGGATAGTCGGGAAGCGGGTCATGGCGGTCCAGATGATTGAAAGGGGTGTGAGGATGAAATCTGGAGGTTATTAGCTCTTGCTAACAGGGTGAAATTTTGAACTGGCGGAGAAATCTGAATGGAATTGGAATTACCTTCGAGACTAGCAGCATGTAGAGGTGGATCATGTGGATGCTCCGATTTTATAAGCTCACCAACCTCTTTCAGATACTCCTCCATTGACGATGCGTGGAGGTGTCTCAGAGACGGAGTAGCAGGACGATACGTGCCTTTCATCGTCCTCAAAGCCTCCATCCCCCCTAAGAATACGGCAGCCCAGAAGATGTTCGTCTGTCTCATACAAAGAGCAAATACACCACAGAGGTAAAACCATGCACCACTTTTCCACAATTTGTGAATCTTCTTAGATTCTGCTTGCTCAAGGAATTGCTTGTACAGGTATAAAATCACACAAGTAGACAGCACGTCCGTATAATACAACCCCGAGAAGAAGAATAGAGGAGGGAATAAGGCAATGTTTGCAGCTGTATGTAATAAATCTGCAGATCTCAACTTAGGAACTTGATCTGTGGGGTTTTCGACCCCGGCCCGAATAATGAGGTTCCGACATTTCCAGGCAAGCATCATAATAGATGTGAGGGCAATGACATTTGTTGTCCGAAGAAAATGTACATTGCATGTTGTGAATCCAGAGACTATGCTCAAGAAATGACTCCACCAATATCTAGTTTCTGGTCAGTGATGTTTAGGATAACATATTGTCTGAACGAAGATCATACAATCCAGGTGGTGTAGTAAGTTTTGGATCCCAAGTACCATAGTCCCATCTACAGTATGCTTGAGCTTGTGGTATATGGAATACTTCATCCTGGATAATATGAGCCAGTGCATCAAATTGAGGTCCAAATGAAGATAACTATACCAAATAAGGTTCGGGAACATTCTTAGTCACCTGATATTCCCAGAACCCGGCAAGAGAAGCCACAGTCAATGGAACGGCAAGAGCGGTCTTGCGGCCTAGTCCTCTCCGTGAACTTGGGTCTGAACTGCCGACGGCAGCGAGAAATCCCACGAGGAGAGTGGAGATAGCACCGGCCATGAGGACACCTTTTGGCGTTTGCGAGATGTGGCTTGAATTTATCTTATGAAGACGGCGAAGTTCTTGGTATCATAATTGAAATTTGATTATCTGGCCAGATATGATTAGCATACTATGGAAATCGGTATGATATGAAACTCACGAAAATATTGGTTGTCGTAAGAAATAACGATGATTTTGGACCCTAAAACTGTTAAAACCCGTGGACATCCATGATCCCCGGGCCATATTCAAACCGTGGCAGTGCAAGTGTGGCTGAACAGCCCACCTCCACACCCATGGACGAAACGTTTTGCACACCATTTGTCTTCTCTAATCATGAATGTTTAGAATGCATTAACAACATCTATCTACTGCGAGTATTCAAGTAAAACAACGGTATTTAATCCAATCTGTAAAACCCAGAAAGCCCAGTGGCATTCAATTTCGCGTTCCCATTATGTCTGTTTCATGTTTGAGCTGCATTCCATCACCAATTCATCGCCTTCATGCCCGTTGCCGCATAGTTCTTCAGATATCTCAAGCTCAATACCAAGTTCCTGTATCGCTTGCCCAGTGCATCTATTATCCAAAAACAAAGATCCATCGTATTGACATGACCACCGAGAAGATCGCTGTCTTGATCTAGCATAGCGTCCTGGAATTTGGTGGATAGTCCAAGGATAGTCATTTCCTTTCTTGCATCGACTTTTGCTTGCTTCGCAATGGTCAATTGGTCCATTCTCATTTGAACTATGGAAATTGCATAGCTATATGCAGAGGGTCAGTATATTCCTGATGTTTTTTACGCAATGAAATACTCACTCGATAAGAGTGGGATCCCGATCATCACACGCCATCAGTTTCCTAGGTTTGGAGTTATCTTTCAAGAGTCAAAGATTGTCCCCGCTGCCTCGTCCGTCCAACCAATATTCAACAGAGCAGCCATACATAACGTGCTCTCTGGAAGTATGATGGGTGGAAAGGCGGACGCATCAACCGGTACGATGATAACGAAAGATTGGATTGATCCTTTCTTTGCTCGTATTGAGCCTTCTGGAACTTCTTTTTGCTTCTCACAATAGCTCATACCTATTTGAAACAGACTTAGTAATTGGCGTACACGATTTTGCGCATGTACGAAGGGTAACTTACTTAAAAACCCCGGGTTAATTTTCCATTGTCCTTCAAATTCATTTCCCAAGATAATTTGCTTCTGTCTTAGAAATGCTACTTCTTCGCGCTAAGGCTAAAAGGTGGAACTCCATCCTCATAGGAGGAAGATGCATATAATCCCACATAGACATGGTCGCCATAAATAGAAGTTTTGGTTGTAAAAGTTGTCTCGAATCCCGGAGATTGAAATCTAGAAAGGAGCAGACTCTTCAACTAGGTGATTGAGGGATTGCACTTGCCTTAGACGGGCTTCCAAACATTAAGTTTGGTCACCATCTCCTTCTTCTTCTGAGCTCATATTATAGTTTGAGGCTTTCAACAGTTCGGATTGAGGTATCTAGGTACAACTTCAAGGAAGACACGTTAGCAATAAAGATAACAGATACTGTATTCGTACGATGAAGAATCATTCAATGCCTTGATGAGATGAAATGCCTTCATGCAAACACAAAGTCACTATTTAAGATTACCCTGTCGAATCTATCAACTCCTTACGTTCTAAATATTACAAGTTTTTTCTGAGCTTTGGCGACCTGAGAGTTGAGGAGGATTGAAAATCCTGACTCCCTGGGGCGAAAGCTGGTTAAAAATGATGAGGTAAGAGTGGTTTTGGTGGTGAGCATTTGATTGTTTTCCATTTTTGCTTCAGGTTGAAAGTCGAGGTAGGAGGGGTCAGCCAGCGAATGGTACTATATCTCATTGGCACGGGTCCAGACGAGATTTGCTGCAAATCGCGGGACCCTGTAACGTTTTGGACACTATATAAGATCCTATGCGTCGCTCTTCCCTTGGCGTTCTGCTTATTGTAAAGTCAAATGATATGTGGGATTGTTGCACATCGTGGACCCCTACAAGCTTTTTTGTCGATGTTTGTCTGAGTGCTAGTGATTGTTTAGTATCACTCGGCTGTCTATAGCGCATAGTTTACTCATACCCTTCTCCATATTCTAACAATCTGGTAGCTTTCACAAAATGTTTAAGCAAGTACCTTCCAGCACTCGAGATGTAGAACACCTCAGCTGTAATTCCTGATTGTGATGGACCAAGGTAGAAAGTTCAAAATTTATTGATTACTGAACGAATGCCACAATATTAATACAATAATGATATAGATTCAATATCCCCCAGCAGAAGCGGCAAACAACAGTTGTGATATATAATAGCGGACTCCGCGGCGCCAGAATATAAGAGTTCTCAGAGCGGAGAATCTCCTGAGTCGATTAATCTGTCGACCAGCAAGCACTGCGGGACCAAGCATCCTCTTTCCTCGTTCGCAAGTGTATTGAGTCCTCCAAGTACTACGAAGTATGGATCTGCTTCGGTGATGTTAGCAAGATATGAATTGTGTGGTGTTGAGTTGGAACTTACTTGTATCTATACATGTCGATACAAATGAGAAAGTCTCCACGGAATCAAATTGTGACAATCGATTTTCTCTGGTGCCGCAAAGAACGATCGCCATCGCCATCACTTCTGGGACCGAGTTTTGGAAATAAGACCTGTAGAGCTTACAGATATCAGCCTCATAGAAAATGAAGTAGATGTAGTCTTTAGAATGTGTCCAGTAAAGACTTACAATTAAAAAGAATCGCAATCATGGTGGTCCTCATCGCAGCACTCACTTATCGTGCTGCATATAAACTCCGTGACAAGTGGGTTTTGTGTGAGCGCCGAGAGGACCACCATGATTGCGATTCATTTTTAATTGTACCTAGGTAAGTTTCAATATCAAGTCCTTTATTCTTTGAATATTATTATATTGAATATAAATTTCAATTTTTGAGATAATTCAAAAAGAATTATATCAATCGATTCCTTGAATTCTAATTATTGATTATCCTTCTCCCTCTTTCATTTATCAATTCCTTTAAAGTTTTATACTGATTTGAATACTTTTAGTATAAAAGCACATCACTAAATTCTAAATACGTTTGTAGCTCAGGTAAAAATCTATTTTTGGGGTTTATGCTAAATGATTCAATCGGCCTCGGTAATTTTACCCCCCTTCATTTATCCTGTGGCGAACCAAAAGGGCTCAAGCAAACGTATGGGAAGTTTCACAAACATAAAAAGATGAATGAAGTTGCATGGACTCAGGATCACAAGTGACTCTCTGACGGGGAGTCGAAAAAGGACCATCAAAGATTGCTGATTTGTTGGGAATCCAGGTTTTCTTACAAAATATTACTCTAACAAACTATTGGGGTGGAAGAGGTAAGAATTACAATGGTCGCAGTGGGGCTTTCGTGCGCTAGAATGTAAGATATGGGTAAATCATTGACCGGCGTGGAGGATGGATAAGAGGAATGACGCTAGAGCCACATACACAGAGGAAGGCAGGTTAATGGAAGTTCGATATGCCAGATTATAAACAAGCTGAGAGCTCTAATCAGTGTTCCCTTTGTTGTACTGACGCCATCTGTTTTGCACTACGAGATTGTGAAAGGGATACTGACGGATTCGCAGCGATTCAAACACAACCACCCAGTACCCAACGAGGGCTATTCACACCTCAAACCTCTCACTTTGACGAGACTAAGAAACGAGATAGGTGGAAGGCTGATGAATGTAGGGAATAAAGCACCGAATCTAATGATAGACATGTATTGCATTGAAGACACTTCTAGTAAGAGTAAATATCATCAAAATAATCAAGGTATCAAAAGATACAAAATACTGGAATGAGTTTTGATGGTTTTGGATTCGATATAAGAAAGAGGAAGAGGAAGAGGAAGAATTGAATCACATCTCACTTTTCCTACAATCAGTTGCAACAAGACAGATAGAGTGAACAGCTGTTATATGATTTCGTTAAAGAGTGGTTAGATGGACATAAGAAGTCTGCAGGTTCCCCGCTGCAGTTCGGAGACAGACATTCCCAGCCAAATAAATGAATGGCTGATTAAATCGCTACTTCTTCAATCCTCTATTTCCTTCATTTTCCCTCAAGTTTTTTTAACACCATCTTCCAATCCTAGCCTTCGTTTATGTCCTCTCAGACCTTTCACTTAAGCTCCGGAGTAGAATCCGTAACTCAGAAAGTCGACATTTGCAACACAGCTTCCAACTGAAGCAGTTCCATACTGGGAACTGTCACCTCCTTGGTTGATACCAGTATAAAAGGTGACGTGGTAGTTTGGGGACAAGCTCAAGATCTTGATGCTATGTTGAGTGGCGCCAAAATTGCCTTTCGTAGTAGCAGCTCCATCAGTAAAGATAACGGCACCACCACCACAAGCTGTCATTCAAGAGTTAGTTAGGGTGATAAGGAGGAAAATTATCGTGAGATTGACATACAAGAATCAGTGTAGACTGCGAATTGAGTACTGCCTCTCTTCTCGAGAATCATGGCAGCATTAGCTTCGGCATCTGCGACAGGGAGAGCTGGTACAACAGCAGCCAAGATGGCGGTGATGATGCTGGTAGTGTAAATGAACTTCATTTTGAAATTAGTTGTTAGTATAAATATATCTGAGGGTTTCCTTCTTGTGGGAGGCTTGATCGATTGGAGATGTGTAGATGTGATGTTCGCTGGTGAAGTGATTCTCTAGAGGGGGACATCCATGATCTCTTTATAGAATTTCTAAAGATTAGGAGCAAGGATGCTTTCGCCGTCGGTTATTAAATGAGGGGTCTTGACGATTTGCAATCTTGCTTTCAACCTCGTTCCTCGCAATCTGATTATTGATAAAGCTAATTGCGTATCAATCTTTTGCCTGTCCGAGATTAGCTGCCGCAAGTGTCAGCGGATCGAAAACTGAGTGTGTCTCATCCATATTCTTGACATGTCAACACGTTAGCGATGCATTGTTGGCGCAGTGAACGTTTAGTCAACATGGCTGAAGCATAAGCATATGATCGCCGAACTTGCAAATCACGGTCAATGATGTATATTGATATAGGACTAAATGTCGGTGATTCAGCCAGTCACTCAAGAGCACTGACATGAAGATTAGCAAGATATTGCTCGAAGTTGATAGAGACCATGGTACCTTCGCCGTACCGTATTCCTTTTCACATTCCTAATATCGACTTAAGAGAAAGAAACCAGCAAGTGTAGATTATTACCTATAGTGGCTCAGTGGCTAACGATTGAAAGAAGCCCAAGAAACACCAAATATCGTCATTCTTCACCTGTTTCACTTTAATTTATCCTTACAATTGCAAGGTCTACTTCAAATATGATATTGTTGATATTTTCTTTATATTCAAATCAACCAAAATAGTTCTAGTATCTTCGTAGCTTGTTTGTGATTCAATTGAGTTGGATAAATAAATATCGAGATATCTGAAGAACAGCAGATTTACAAAGATTGATTTTTGATGTACCTACGAAACAGGCTCATTTAAACTGCCTCGGTAGGTAGTAATGCAATAATTTTACGATTGTCTTAATCTGGAAATTGAGTGATGATATAATCTGACAGGTATAAGATCACAACTCCACTTGTTCGAGGGTAAGCTGAGGTTTCAGTCGAGAATGGCAATTTTGCATCATCATTCCACATTAACTCCGATTATAAATTCTTCATTTAATACTAGCGCAGACATCTTATGCAAGTCGTCTAATATGGATTCTGATACATTTCTGCAGGGAAGACAAAAGCTTATTTTCACTTCCACGTTACTCAACACTAAAGATTACTCTATACGTACTCCGAATGAGGTAAGGGTTTCGCGTGGAAGACAACATTCACTCTACGATACTCCAATACGAGACGCCATAGAGCGATCATCGTTGTCAGATTACTATTGCGAGAGCATCATAAACCGATTACACTTCCATGAGTTAGCTAATATAATTGGATTACCATTTGATTTGCGCGTCGATTGCCCCTTACATGCAAGTTAGGCATCCATAAATGGGCATAAATCTCGTAAATTATTGACTCCTGAATTATTACTAGGATGTCTATCCGGCTGAAAATATATTACGTTCGCCTTTTCGTGACGAATTTAAAGACATTTGGGGGTTATATGCCGTGCATAAATAGCGGGGTGTGTAGGCAGTGGCTTGCTTACTATTTCTCCAAACCAATACAGAATGATCAATCCTGGATCTAGAAATGCGATTTTGATTTTCCCCTACAGTACAGGAGACCAGGCGATGCCCGGAGCAGATCTGTAGAGAAATGAAATGAAAATCCAATTCGGAAGATTCGGAAGCTAGACATTCTCAATAAAAAACTAATCATTTTCTTGGTCTGATTTCGAGAGTCTCACTCTGCAAGATCACCGCATATGAATGGTGATTTTGGATCAGCAGGAGAGAAAGCACTTGACTTGGAAATATGCGAAAGAAGATCGTTCGAAGTTGTCACTGTGTGATGAACTTGTTGCTCAAGCCAAAGACCAAACGCCACCACCATTTCACTCCTAAGACATAAGAACCACACATTGGATTACCAATCACAGTTAGAACTTGTAGGGCGAAAAAATCAGATAGATTAATGAACGCTCTCCAGGAAAAAGGTCATCAAAGTATACACAGTCCCATAATTTGCCAAGTAATCCAGGCCCTGGCTTCCAGAATTGCATGCTTGTCCTCTTCCTGTGTCAGAAACGATCAAGTTCTTTATGATGTATTCAGGCTGCTGATGCCTCTAAAGCATCAGGATATCATCAATACTGCTGTAGATCTAACTTGAAAGACAATACAGGCCAAGGGTTCGATCCAGAAGCCAGAAAACAGTAGCATAACCTTGGATTGGAGACAAAATCGAAAGCTATGGATGTTCGATTACTGTCGTGAAAAGAAGCAGAAAATCTCATCTTTGATTGCGTGAATCATAAATATATGAAGTTCAAAGTGCGAAATAGTATGAGATGCTATGAAGACCAATTATACTTTCTAGATTCACAAAGCAAAAGAATGAACTCTTATTTGAGAAATTCTTTGGAACAGAAAGAAGAAATCACTAAGCTTTCGAGGAAGATGTCATTACTGTAATCGAATATGGAACATATCAGTATACAAGTATTATTTTCCATCATTTAATCACTCTTCTATCTTGTGCCGTCTGAGATATAACGAGAATCAAAATGTAGTTCGATGTCATTATTTTCTACTTGTTTCGTGCTTGGGTATAGAAATCTACAGTAAGTATGCTTCATCAAACAAGCTTCACAACAGGTAATATGTCAGAAGCAAATAGAAATAGAAGTAATATCATATCAGTATTAAAAAATACTAGGGGATCTTTTATATTTCTCCAAAATTTTCTCGCCTGTTTTCCTCTGGGGTCATCCTTACAATCATCTCGAACTGTGGACAGAACTGGCATACCAAAAGCTCTCTGGTAGTAGCATTCTTGGTACCTTCGCGGATTTCATGTGGCTTGCGTCCATGTCTGACACGCCAACTTTGATGTGTTAGCTCAGATCATAAGTAATTAGATCGAATATGAAATGAGACTTACGCATTAAGTCTCTCCCTCTCAGCCCAGGTGATTCGAAGGCGCTTGTGATCCTCAATATTATCATTTTTATCTGGCGTAGAAGGATTTGTGGAGCAACATAATTATTTCCTCTAACATGGTACAATTCTTCTCTCGTCATTAAGACTTCGCAATATGCAAACTACTGGCGATGGTATATTAGCATGTTCTGTTCACGATCCCTCTTCACGGTGAACTAACCTCGTGATGTGCAACAGTAGCTGGACGTGCAACTGGACGTGCAACTGGTTTGGGAGTAGGTTCGTAATCTTCATCGTCCACTATGGAAAGTTATCAGTCAAGAGTTTCCATTGTCATGTGTAATCTGATCTTACTTTCTTCATCGGAGGAACCTGCTGAGCTGGGGTATATTCACGATCAGGTGTAAGATTGGAGTGGTCATCTTCGACAGCTATATACAATCAGTAAAGGTAATAAAATGGTGGGTTGAATCGAATCTTACGTTCTCCCATGACAACAGGTTGGGTCTTTTGAGTGCTCCTTGTTATGTAGCGATGAACGCCAACAGGCGCAGTGATTTCAGCAGGCGCAGTGTTTCTCAGCAGGCGCTTCATGCTCATTATCACGTTTGAAGAAACTGGCACCACGAATTTGGCTCAAAGAGTGGTGGACACGTGCGAGAGTAATTGGGTCACGGCGGACATGGAGGTAAAGTAGGTTATACTTTGATTGAAGTCCATTGTGCTGACTCTGAAGGTTACCGTGCCGAGTTTGAAGGTCATTATGCTGCATTTGAAGTTGGTTGTATTGAGATTGAACCTGCTCATTTTGGATTTGAAGCTGATCACACTGATATTGAAGTTGATGGTGTTGAAATTGGAGATCAACATTTTGGCCAGACTGAGCATGGACTTCTCCGTTCTCGGGAGGAAAAGAAGGATACCGCTGATGGTCGGTGATAGGGTAGTACGGATTCTGATATTCCTCTTCCATTGTATCTTATAATAAGACGCGCGCCTTTTGTACTGTGCAAAGTTACATTAGCATGAAAGAATTTTCAAATCAGATAAACGATGGTGAAGGGTTGATAGTTAATGAAACATTTTGTGACATATCAGTTAATTGTTTTTCGAATTCTTTAGAATCAAAATTGACCTGGTATACAGTAGGTAACCTTTAAACAAGTCACACGGACCTCGAAGATTCTGATCCTTACCTGCTTTGAGCCTCGGAGATTGGAAGTCATGTGGGTAAGGTTAACAGGTGAATTGATAAGACAGATGAGTTGCGGAGGTGAACAAATGGACTTTACCGATAGATGAAAAAGACAAAAACTTAAAGTGATTCTCATCTGATGATTACTGCTTTTGATATTGTTAGATGTTTGATAGGATAAGCGAGACTCAGGGGTTCTTGTCTGATGTTTGTGGGGGCTGGGTAGCATTCGTTATGAGCACTCAAGATGATCTTCTTTAGATCTTCTTCAGGCTTAAACAACGAAACCTCAATGATTTAATTAGTTACACTAACCATTTCAGGTCATTTGATATCTAGGTATACACAATGAATTCTCAATGCTGAATATTTCGCTTCTCGGTGAGGCATAGACTTGAATAAAGAAGGTTTTGGTTTGCTCAATTGACTCAACTTATACTACAATATTTCCATTTAACATCAACATAATCAATCATTTTCATACCCGCATCAACAATTTTATAGTCTGAGCATCTGACATGTTGCTTGCATGATATAAGCTGAGTTCTATTATCAAGGTAAGAATAAAGAAGGTTCGCACCTGAGACTATAGATATAAACCTTTTAGTTTAAGAACATTTAAGTGGCTATTAACGATGATCTAAGTGAACTTAAGAAGGCACATTCTAGCAAATTCCTTCGGAATCATCAATACACGACTACATGCATTAAAAAAATTTCTTCTACTTCAATCTAAATTGCTTCGCTTGTCGGGCATCTGAGTTTGACAGCATTATTATGTTGAAGTAAGTGACATAGGCTTTTGAATTGTACAAGGACTATCATTCGAGAATAAATTGAATGCGTCGGTACTAGAAGAAGTAATCTGTGTGCTTTCTGTATAGAGGGATGATTCTGATTTTACTGAAGTTTCTAAAGAGAGATCTAGAATGCAACTCACAAGGAAGTAATTGCGCAAGATAGAATTGTCATATAGTTTCTGGAGAGAATAATCAGGTGCAACCGCCAATGGCATGTACAAGAATCTGACCATGTTCTACTAATTCCGTAGTAGTGGTGTTAAAATAGTTCGCCTGCTAACCCTAAGAATTATAATCTATCGACGTATGTCTATGCACAGATACAGTACAGTTAAAAATTTGTGTGAATTTCACATCACGAACCTCGTGAATCTTCAAGGTTATCCGACTGTTCACTCCGGAAAACTTTCCTTGGCCATTCCATTGACTCCTTCCATTTCACTTCACCGTCCCGGGTCAACTGACTCCAAATTCCCTCCACCCATTTTCGATGACCTCTGATCTCACCCCCGACTCCAAGGCCACTGCTTGAACTACTAGGATTACTGATTTCAGCTTCACGACAAAGAATAGGCCCCATAATCTTCTGTACTGCTAAAAAATGAGCAATTAATACCCTCGCCACTTGATTTGCTTCATCTATAAAAGCGCAGAAGGTACGATTACTCATCTTACTGATCGCAAGATAGATTTGAACAAATTTGAAATACGCTATTGAGGTGTTAGACAGTCATAATATGCCACGAAAGAGGTAACAAGGAGAAGTTATAGTGAGGAGAAGAATACCAGATAGAGAAGAGGTTTCCCATTGCTCGACAACGGCTGAAAGCATTCCAAAGAATTCCATATTGATTTTACTTCTCTGGCATATATCTTTAACGAGATTCAACGATCTTTTAGCATCCTGGGTGGAATTATTGGGAATTTTAGGCAGATCAACAAGTCGCCCCTCCATCTGTTGCCAATGATCTCCATCCCCATCAAAGCACATTTCTATCCCTTTGTTGTCTTGCTTGACGAGGAGAAGGCTATCACGTAGAATGCTACAGCCACGGAAAAAATATAAGAGTTCAAAAAAGCCAGACAGATCAGACATATAGCAAGATTGAAACGTCAGCAAGTAGAGAGTTGCTTGTATTGTTTGTCTTTGGAATTCCGTCGCGGTCAAGAGATCGAGTCTGGTGAACAGTGCGGACAGCCCACAGATGGCGAGTATGCGGTGATGGAGTGACAGTATGTAATAGCTTTTGGCAGGACTTCCTGAGTCGAGTGCAGAATCAAAGGGAGAAAAAGGTGAATTGCTCGAAATATGGGATGCTGATAAGCCAAGAATAGCGTGTAGTAAGAAAGAATTCTTGCGAGAGATAGTCTGTTAGGCCACATCCGTTCAAAAGTGTAGGGAGCGAAACTACTCACATGATGAGCCAGAACTGGAACATGACGAACCCACTTTTCCTTGCTCCCTACGGGCAAATACGGGTGAGCATGCATCAAAAAATGATGAAAAATGAACATGTCATCTAGAGAGAATATCGTAGGTGTAGCTTGCAAGTTTCCATACGGGACCGGGCTTGGATTAGACATTTGGCGAGGCTTTAAGGGTAATATTGGAGGTGGAAGTGTAGGGTAGCTGCAAGACAGTTGATTTCGTGCACAATTTTGACATGAAGGTAGGGTTCTTGACACTAGAATTATTAACATAAATAGATTCCATGTTATGAAGTGAGACCTATACTTTTACTTTACGTTTCTTGCAATTGTAACATCCACGTCTCGACTTTTTGTGCCCTTTGCGAGGTCTGCGGGGCTCATCTTGCTTCGTGCCGTTACTTGGCCATCCTGTAGAGGAATCTTGGCTAACAGTAATATTGTCCACCAGACGAGTGTTACTACAACTGCCAGCAGACTCTGAATCTATGGAAAAATCGTGGTCGCCGCTCCTCAGACTGCTCGGATCTTGTTGCGCCACACTGCTGCCTGGACCATCACAATTTGCGTTTGCATAGCATTCGTTTACCCGTTCAAACAGTTCAGTTCCATCTCTTAGTCTTGTGTAATCATCACGAAGCCATCTGAACGTGTTGATGTATTCGGTATTCATTTGCATAGGCATGGCCAATAATAATACGATATATTAACGTTGCAGAGGACCGATTCTAAGTGCAGCACATTTCAAGCCGGAACTGTACCACGTGACTTGCGTCCATATCTTATCAGATAGCAATTTCGCGGCTATTATTCTCAGTTGGAACATTTTCAAATGTCGATTGTTTGAACAAGTCATACAAACTCAGCCTCCAAATTTCATGACAACCACAGCCGCAATACTACTCGAACCTAGAGAGACATTGAGCCTACCTACAAACGGTGTTCAATCCCTTCATTGAATGCTTGTACTGGCAAAGAGGACGTGATTGTTTATCTAATATATAACCTAAAGCACCAAGTTTCCTGGAAAAGAAAGCTCGGGTACAAGTTTCTTTCTATGAAAAGCTGGGCCCGAGGCTTGTCGGATCTTGTCATTCTCTTATGTCGAGTTCCATGAGTACAGAAGCTTATGTTATGGAGGTTTATGTTGCGATTTTTCCTCAGTACCGGGCCGATGGCGGGTCTACTGCTTATGAGCAGGGTTCAGAGCCAGATGCATCTACAAGGAACATGCATTTTGCCTGTGGGTAATGTGGTGCAACCACTGCAACGCAAGCAGAAGTTGATCTTATCAGATGAGAACCATTGAAAAATTTACATGTATTTCTTGAACCTCGGAGATAGAACTCAATCGGGCTCAGGCGAGCTCTCAAGCTTTTTATCGTACTGACCGCATCGTCTTGGTGGAAAGTAAGTGTCAAGCCAGGACAAATAATGGTAGAAGACTGGAAGTGGGCTAGAAAACCAAGGATATTTATCAGATGGAAATTCTCCTGCAAGGTTTTGGAACCCTAAAATTGTGGAGCGTATTAAGTTATCAGATTGAAAATCATTGGACGTAGTCCGGCTAGTGTCAGTTTAGCCACCACGATGGCATGATCACCGCAGCGAGCACCTGAAATCTAGTCTGTCTGAAAAGAATCATGATGGATTAGGCATCGGTCCCGATACTGGCGACTACATCATCAACTAACAGTTCAACAGGTAGGGATCTCGAGGAGCTGTTGCCATCTCATGTGATAAAATGGCATGACTCTTGTTTCTCTCTCTAATCCCTTCCTTTCCCAGCGGAAAAATTGTACCCTGCTTTATCAAACTTTATTGTTAGATTACCTAAAGCTAATTGATGTTTTGACCGCCTTCACGATTCCGACTTGGTAGATATTGATCGGACAAATAATCTTCAACATTAATTTCCTCCCATCTAGAATTCTACTTGACCGAATCTCCTGCTATGCTAGTTTGTTCTTCTGTTTCAACATCTAACATCATACCTCTCTCCACCTCCACCACCCCATTCCAAGTCTCGTTGCCCTCGAAATCCTTAAAAACTTCCCAAAAACTTCCAACGACTCAGTCACCATCAGCGCAAAAGAAGACCGAGAACAAGAAACAAGAACAAAAGCATAATGTCTCTCCAAATCCCCAGCTACGATCCCCCTCAAACATCCCTTCCTCGGCCCCATCCCCATCTCACAAACCGCACGCGCGCATACGACATCATCTCGACAAACTTTTCCATCGCCCAACTCAGTCTCGCTATCATCGCGACGGTGAAACGGAGTCCGTTGTCAATCTTATTCCTGAGTCAAACTCCTGAATTAGATCTTGGGGGCTTGAAAAATGAAGCTGTCTTCATGCAAGATTTTGCCACAAGTTTAGATCCAACTTGTCGATATACATTCCTCAATTATCTGAGCGAGGAGGGGATGTTGGGAGAATGGATGACCAGAGGGGAAATGAATCCAAGTGTGGAAAGAGTGTGACAGAATATGCTAGATGGTGTGCCAAGGTTGTTAGGGAAGAAGGATGGGTTGACTTCTCTGAAGGTAGCGTAGAGGGAGCCGAGCAAAGAGGAAATGGAAGAGCCATTGATCTTATGGTTTCTGGAGAGATGTTCAGGGCGGATAGAATTTTGGATAGGAGTGAAGAGTCTATGACCTTTGCAAATGAAAGTGAGGACTTAGACCTACTCCAAGCTACAGATGCATTGGCAAAAACTTGTGCGCGGCAGCTTCATCTTCTGTAAGTTTACCTTCTTCCTTCAGATATTCCTGCGTATTGTGCCTAACATGTCTCCAATAGAATCTAGCGGCACTCACAACACAAAACGAGAAGTTACTATCTCAATACGAGAAAGAACAAGCAAGCAGAATGGTCAGAGCACTGCTGTAGTTATTCGGGCTGGCTCAATTATTACGATTTTGAATGATAGATGGATGGTGTTCAGGGACCTCATTTGATTCCTTTCGGCGCATTTTCTGGTGCAAATACCAGTAGAACTTTTAGATTTTGAAAACATCAATGTACATAGTATGGAAATTATTGATGCTTAGCTTTGCTTTGAAACATCTACGTCCTAACAATTTAGCACTGTTTTTCCCTTTTACTCTATTATTCTGGCCACGAATTTCGCTCAAAACTCGTATTCGAGAAAAAAAAAAGATTTTGCCGACTTGTTTTCGACAAATCCGGAAGGGATACACGATGCATCATGTATGACAACGATTCACATATCAAGCCATGCATGCAGCTCAGACAGCCGACGAGCAAGCTTCGTCCTTGAAAGCTTTATCCTGCAATAAGGTCTTGGCTGGGAAGCTCGAAGCTGGGTGTCTCTGTATCAAACCCCCACCTTCCCGATACCGCTGTAAGTGGAGCAGGTGGGATCGCTCCGTTCCTCCCCTGCTTCTATGTGGGGTGAAACTGCCGAGTCAAGAGTTTTGACTCAGGACGAAAGAAAGAAGGAAGGTAGAACTCGTCATCTGGGATAATTTGCAGTGGTTAATGGTAGCCCAATCCGAGATACTTTTGCCGGTTACACAAAAGAGTTTCGATGGCGTATCTCTGTCTAGGGGCTAATTCTTATGAACTTGAGATTGCAATTGTGCGGGATGCGATAGATGAATTTCATCCGGATCCTGGGAAGGAGTTTGTGGAACGACGAACGTATATACATGGTCGAAATTCTGGCGTTGGAGAAACTGATGTATTAGAAAGTCCTTCGAACGAGACATACAAGTCAAGACATTTTCTCTGCATTTTTGACATCCAGAAGGCTTGAATATTAGACGCCGCTTCATAACAAGATCAGGTTTCTCTGACATTAACAAGGTCACATTCTCAAAATCGGCGGTTTCTGTCATTACCAGATTGCATTTCCGTACCTGGAATAGTGACCTCGTGGAGGGCCGTTACAATCTCAACGGGAATTCAGGGTACTAGATCGCATGTTGCTGATCCATCGACTTCGACGTACGCCTGTCAACACGCACAAACCTCTGGGTCACGCATTCAGCGGTGAGAAACTTGGAGATTTCGATGCAGCTTCTCATGGTATGGTAAAAGGAATTGATTTAATTCCTCGTGAGATTCCTGTTTCGGTGGCTTTGCCGAGGGTTTGGGAAAACGTCTTGTCTAGCAGTAACATATACTGAATTCACGCCATGGAAATTAATAGTTTAGCCTGCTTGGCGCAGTGGTAACGCGTAGCACTTGTATGGAAGATATTTCAGCGATGCTAAGATCATTGGTTCGATTCCAGTAGTAGGCAATTACTTTTGATATTTGGTAGTTTTGTACATTTTTGAAGATGGAAACTGACTGCATGCATTCTCAAACTCTCCCAAGAAGAGTTTCTAGCCTCTTTTCCCAGATTATCTCGTTGTAAGTGGTCGGAAAGGAGAGGGAATGGGGGGAGAGAAAAGTGGCGATCATAGTGTAATCAGCTCCATACCTCTAGACTAGCTGAGGTAGACAAAGTTCAAGTGTACAAGGGCGATTATGAGAAAAACAGATGTACAAGAGAGCACTCGAGTACAATGATTTGAATGGATTTGATGTGGGGAAGTGGATTCTCAACATATGGGGACTGTGGGGTCATCAAAGTCACTTCCAGTCTTGCTTTGTGATCTATGAGCTAGTGCTTTGTGATTGGCATGTTTTTTTATTGGCTATATGTTCACTTTGATTCAATCTCGACCCTTCTTCCAGGTTCGTAGAGTTCCTGCTCTGTGATTTGAAGATGAATAGCTGCCCCTTGATGTCGTCGTCTCATCGTCTCTCCACCAGAAATTCCAGGTCCCAGCCCTCTTTGTAAATATCAATCAGATCAGCATCTTTGCCCTTTTCACTTCCCATTCTTTATCCTGTCATCCAACTCCGCCATTTCTATCTAACCTCTCGCCCATTCTTGACAGCATTTCCTCCACAATCTCGATGACTCATCACAAAATCCATTCAGTGACAATTGTATTTGGAATCCAAACACTTTCCAGCTTGATCTTGGTGGTATGCCTTATAGTCTGGACAGGCCGCTACATGATTGAGCTGGAGTTGGCTGAATTTTGGGCATTTCTCGGTGTTACGCATGCCAGCGTGTCCGCAGGCGAAGTGTGTTAACAAGCTTGAACACATGGTGAGGTAGATTGAATTGAGATATTCGACGATTTATCTGTGAGGAAATGTGAAGGTATTGACGAAGCTGACGAAGTGATCAGGACCCTTGCTTGATGAGGCGTTGTTTGAAGGTGTTGAAGTTTGACTTTGGACCTTTTGACTTTGGGGACTTTGAATCTTCGTGTTCTTGGGGATGGAAAATTATGATTCAAGAATGGATTCTAACCTTGATATAGAGATGGCTGATGGGGGTAGCTGTATGTCAATCAGCACGGGAAATTGCAAATGTTGAGGTGAATGTTTCTAATTTTGATTTTGATAATTAGTGTTCATCTACTACAGCATGCCGAAATTAGCAATCAAGATTATTGGCATCTGATATACATTCCAGTGAATCATGAATGGGTTGTCTGCTTCACTCGTGTACGGCATTTCAAGCATCGAGGGAGAATCTTGTAAAAGAGCGAGCACACGGATATTAACACCACATATCTACAGAGATTAAAATGCAACGTTTTTGATTCTATCTATCTTAAAGTGTCGCAGAAGAAATTTTTTTGATACAAGGCATTCAGCCACCAGTGTCAAAATGCTCTCTGGACGATGGCTTAGAACCCAAGATTCTCATCTGTTATATCTCCATCTACCCATCCTTCGCCATCTTCTCGTTAGTCTCTGATTATACTTCAGTTACACCCTCGATCCTATTACCATCAATTCCTAGAAACTATGAGCTCGATAGGTTTAGTCCCTCATTTTGTTGATCCGGCACTGGTTGAAAGACCATGGGGGCATTGAAAAAAGTTATTTGGTAAAACGGACAAAGAGGAGGATGGCAATTTGTCTGCTGCTGCTGGAGACATCCTTGTATGCTAATGGATTTATGCCCACATGGGAAGATTGTCCACTGTTCTATGCACATTGCTGCCGTGTTTTGAGAGTGATTTTGATGACTTGAGAATTTAGTTCCCGGGGAATGTGAGAGTTTAGGCTGTGGAAGAGTTTCTGTGGTTGAAAAAGAAAAGAGCAGGGCTGGAGTGTCTTTTTATAGGAGGCATGTGGTAAAAGTTTGATTGGAGTGGCGTTTACGATTCATTCATACAAGACTGAGTGAATGCATGTCAAGTTAAGCATCGCATAACTGCCTAATTACCTAGATAGTTAAAATTGACACTTGGTATCTGGCGCCGGAAAAACTAGTTTGAAATGAAATTCAGAAGAAGATTCACATGAACAATAACACTAACGGAAATGCCGCCATTCAAGTTATATGATGGATTGCAAGTTATAACTCGCTCATTCACATTATCACTTGGCAATTATTTCATGAATTTCATCATTTATCAAAGAAATACGAAACGAAATCGTGATATGAATAATTTGATTTGAGAAGGACGCTGATTTTCTTTTTTTTACCCAGTGCACACACGGGAATGAATCTAGAAAAATGGGGAAAGAACCGTGAATATACTATAGCTATTTCGGATTCAGATTCCGTTACTTTATATGCAGATTAACGGTCAGTCAGTCCAGAGTCGCCCCCGCCAGGAAATCCGTGGCTTAAACAACTAATATCTCAACTCCCATCCAGCATTTTCTGTCAAAAATCCCATTCTCGCCCAAAGTTTCAGTCCCTCAAGCAGAATCCTGACTTTTACAACGGGCACGACGACGACGTCCATCACCACAGCCAGAACAAACTCCAGGAATTTCCACCACTTGTATCTGAAACCGAGGGCAATTTGGAGGACTAAATCGTAGCTGTAGTTGTCTAATGCAGCCATAGATCCGGAATGTGGCGTCACCGCATCCCAAGTAAACAGTGTTGCGTTGTACACACATGGTATAGTTGCAAAGTGTCGTGGAGAGGTATTTGAATCAGAAATGGGAATGAATCGACGGAAGTTGGTCTCTGAAATATTTAGACTGCGAATTTTGGTAAGATCCGCACCTAATGGGCGCTGCGTTCGTAGAAAAACGGATTCGGCAGTTAAGATGAATGAAAGAGAATTCAATGGACATCGATCTGACAAATTAAAAACAAAAGTATCAGGTAATTGTAGATGCTAGAATGTTTGCAGCATGAGTTTGTGAATAGGGGAATTGGAGTGCACTCTGATTCAATGACCACCTGGGAACTCTAAAGTCAAAGTTATGGATATCGTAGTCACTTATAGAGGAGATCAATTCCTAAAATCAAAGAAGCTTCGCAGCAATATATATCTTCTGTATACATCGTCCCTCCGAATCTCCTTCGTAAACTGACGATTGGAGGGGGTGATTACTAAATTTAAATTTGGACCAAGGTAGCATTGCTTTATTTCAGTATATCATTCTCATCTTGTCTTACTGCAACCAGTACTTGGAAGATACTCAAACTGTATGAAGTGCAGAGTACCATTATAGAAGGAAGTTGTAAATATGGTAGCTACCTAGTAGTTGTGCTTGAATGAGGCGGCTATAGACGCGTAGGAACGACGATCCCTGATGTGGCTCACAATTCTTATTACAGTTTCTAATTTTCTGCTTATTTTGCGATATAATTTTTTCTCGGAATAAACTGCTTCCGATAAGCTCAGCTCTTTATAACAGGGCGTCGTCGCCAAGATGCAAAAATATCCAGAAGGCAAAGCAGCCTGCGCTTGATTGGTTAACCGTGATAAATGCCCAGACGCTACTCGAGAAGCTGATGATTGTACTACATTGTGAATATGGTAACACGACAGTTCTCGTCATCTTAAGTTATCTGCTACCACACCATGAGATGGATCTCCCTTAATAAAAGGCCCTTTCTTGAGGAAAAGAGGTATATTTTTATCGAAAGGCCAATTTCTAAAACCGAAAGACTTCCATCATGATGGAAGAAACGCAGCTATATCATACTCTTGAGGTCTCCAAAAAAGAAGTGAGACTCGTCACTTTGCTACCTGGAGACTTTTCAAACGATATTTTTTGTACTCTCACAACAGTCTCCTTGATAGATGAGCCATTCTACGAGGCTCTCTCATATGTTTGGGGGAATCCGATGAACAAATGCGATATCAACCTTCAAGGCGTGTCATTTCCAATAACCACCAATTTGGAGTCTGCACTTCGGCATCTGAGGTATTACGACCTACCAAGAATTTTGTGGATTGACGCAATCTGTATCAACCAAGAAGATATACCCGAGCGCAACTCACAGGTCAAATACATGGGCACAATTTACTCAAAATCATCAATCGTCCTTGCTTGGCTGGGGGAACCAAAAACGAACAAATGCTTGACTTCAAGCCTCACAGCTGGATGGATGGATAAATTGGTACCGGAAGGAGATGTCATTGACGAGGAGAGGGATAACGATTTGGTTTTCGATACATTTGAAATGATGTTAAAAGATCTCGAAGCTCACTGGGAAAGTGATAACGATGACGTTGCCTCATTTTCAATTCAAAACTTGCGTACAGGCGCCGGGATCATTCGACTTTTCGAGAACCCTTGGTGGGACCGAATGTGGACGGTTCAAGAGGCTCTTCTAGGGAAAGATACCCTCTTGATATCAGGACGGAGAAGCATATTGCAAAATGACCTGTCGGCTATTTTCACTAGTCAACTTGCACATTCCAAAGACGGTTGTAATCCACGCAAAAGTGGGTTCATTACGACTTCATTTATGAAGATGAGGTTTCTCCGTGAATATCGAGATGGCAGTGCATCAAGTAGTCTGGAAGGACTTCTCAATGTATTTGGGGAACGGCGTTGTTCAGATCCGCGAGACAAGATATACGGCCTACTAGGTATTCTTGCGACTAAAGAAGTCGATTCTATCCACCCAGACTATGACATTGATATTGCCCTATTGTATGGAGATACAGTAGTGGATATAATCAATGAGGCGCGGAATCTCGATATTCTTAGCCAGTTGTGGCCAAGAAAGTGGCATTGCACGGGAATTTTGGCTGGTAAAGGCCCTTCTTGGATCCGAGACTGGACTGCAGAAAGACCCTCTCATGTTTTAGTGGATACTGTAAGCGAGCGTCACAGATTGTTTCCTAAATTTTCAGCCTCCGGCAAAAGCTCTGCCATAGTGAAAGAAAGACGAAAATCAGGAATCACACTACGCGGCATGTTTCTGAACTCTCTTCAGGTTCTCGGCAGAGCAAACGATGTTGAGGTTGATAATGACGAGGAAATGGCTGAGACATATAGAGAGTGGAGGCAATTGGCGCAGAGTGAGACCCAATTCGATCAGCGGTATCCGAATTCCTCGCGAGCTATGACCTACTCGGATGCCTTTTCTCAAACTCTCTGTATGTCAATAGCCTTAAGCTTTGAGTTATCCCAAAGCAATAATTCAGCATGCGAGTATTATTTTAGAAGAGTTTCGAACGATTTGCAAGCGCGCAAAAGTTACCACTCTTGGTGGGAATCGGAGATCGAGGGCACTCCTCGTCTCGGAGGGAAGCAGCTGCTAAACGCCGAAAACGCAGACTCTGATATCCTTCGCTTTCATAGTTTGGTTTGCTTCGCTACTCATATGAGAAGATTCTTCATAGCCAAAGAGCCCAGGTGGATAGGTCTTGTACCAATGGATGCGCAGATTGGCGATCGATTGTTCCTACTCGAGGGCGGGAAACTACCGTATATATTACGTCGGATGGAAGGTGAGGAGGAATATAAGATAATTGGAGACTGCTATGTGCATGGAATAATGGATGGTGAGGAATGGAATTCGGATAAGCTTCAGGATGTGATTTTGATCTAACCCAACTACTATAAGCAACTGTTGAGGAAAACCCTGGCCACGCTCTTTGGCTATAGTCATTGTTATTCAAACTAAAGTTGACCAGATTTCCATGCTTATCATCATTATCGCACCCCGTAGCTAAACACAAGGGCCAATAGCATTTTAATTTTTCTCCTTCCTATCCAACTAGATTCCGTTTTGAACCTCGCATGTGCTGTGAACAATTCTTACAATCCTTGCAAAGAATAAATCAAGTACATGAGATCGGCGACTCTGAACATAACCTGAGTCATGAAACAAGTAAGTTAGAGGGGAATAATCTCTCCCTACATCTTGCGGGGGTAAATACGAAGCTCATCAATATGAATGCGCGGAGCGTGTACCAGGGACAGTGGCATTTGTGGAGTAGTGTCATTTAAATGTATGCAATGCTTATTTTGTGACGTGAATAATGGGGATGATCCGAGGGAAGTCTCAATAAAAGTTCCTGGATTCTTTGTTGATTGCAGAGGGGTGTGTGTGAACATTTGATGTCCATATAAATATACCTTGATCTTATTTAGAAGTTGGAAATTCATCCAGTCATTCTTCCAACTGTTTCTTGAGAGATACCGGCAAAATGCTAGCTTTGCAGGAAACCCTCACGCATGAGTCAAACAGATCGAAATTGCGGTAAAAAATAAGTCAGCAAAAGGAGACTGAAATGAAGATTATGCGTAAGAGGAGCCTTGCTCAGAGAGAACAGCACATAGGTAGGTATCTTAGGTCTCGAGAAGAGATGTTGTGAATGAGATTGATCAAGCGCAAGGGACGGCTTCATGCCTCATACAGGTAGTACACAAAGCACGCTCTGAACCATATCTCGATTCTCAACTTTTACCTCGAGATATCACAACATCATCTTGCTGAGTGGTAGGATTTTGAAGCCCCCCCTTATAATTTTGCTGGAACCCAAAGAAGGAAAAGTACATTCTCACGTGACATTGTAAACTCGCATCAAAACCAAGTGCCAAAGCCGAGAAGCTTGACAGCTTTCAAGAGTTGTCAAGCTTACCAAAATCTTTTCAGGCTGAATGCACTCTCAATATCTCAACACCTCACGCAGCACAAATCTCAAAAAATAAGTCTCCACATCGTCTTGCAGGACGCCCCGGCCAATATCAGGGGCAACCTTGCCCGCCTTTTCATAATAACTACCCACTCACTAAATCAAACACCCGTCAATTTCATAATCTCTTCTCCGAGCCCGGAATTTTCAATCTGATAACATCATTTCTGTGGTATATTCCCGGCAAAAATCGACTAGCGCAAATAAAGTGGATCATTTCGTAACGCTTAATCTTATCAATCGATCTAATCAGATGAAAATTTTCACGTCCGGGATATCATATGCAGAGTTTGAATGCATATGGTGGAATTGAGCTGCCGCATTGGGTTTAGATGACGGAGTTGATGGGGATTCTCGTTTTTGAGACTTAATTGAACGAATGATAGAGGAGCATTGGGATATATTTCGGGGTTCATACGGGTGGAATTTTGGGTCTCACTGGCTAGTTTTTATTACTGCATGAGTGACGATCTGAGATCTTTTCAATGGAGCCAAGTTTGAGGTGGAAAAGGTTTTTTCTTCGCGGATGATGTGATAGATTCCGAGCGGACTTTGTTGTTTTCCTACGAGAACTCCGAGTTGGATACATACTCCCGACGCATGAACGGTTCCCTCGGGGTGAATGGTTGCTATACGACTCATGGTTGGATTCTCCCATATCAGGAAGCTGCTCGGTTCGAAGATGGTGCTGATCTATAGGCGTACTTCACACCAAGTTAACCTTCGTGTTGAACCCTTGCCTGAGTTACTTACGGATGCAGTGGATCTCTCTGCCTCGTTACGTCACAAAATGCATATTCATTTGACATGTGGAAATTTCGTCCGCTATAGCAAAACTGCTCAACAATCAATGGTTCCGCTTCTTGCGGAACTCCGAATCCTCATCTAGATTCTCCCCGACGAAGCTTTTTAGTCATGCCAATGCACGGCTCATACCGTATGTTCTGTCCCGTGGGGCAACCTAGGCATTTGGCGGCTGTTTAGTTCCTGTATGCATCTTGGTTTTATTATCTTATCTGATCTTTTTGATCTATTCTTTGTGTGTCTTTTGTACTTGCAATTCAATTAGTAGATTTTCAGCTTCTCTTTCACCATGCAATCTCTCTACGAAGTTGAGAATGAGACTCCTCGTTTGTCGATTGTTCAGGGAGCGTCAAGTCCTCCGCTGTTATCACTTACTCTAGGAGATTTGCTTGATCAACAAACAAGAATTCGTGCTGGAAATGAATGTTTAGTCTGCCCTTCACTGGGAACGAGGTGGACCTATGGGACGTTACAGGAAGAGAGTATTGCCGTGGCTCGTGGATTGATATCTTTAGGTATAAAATCGGGCGATAGAATTGGAATACTAGCTGGTAACTGTGCGGAATATATTTCGGTGTTCTTCGCCGCGGCTTATACGGGATGTATATTGGTGGTTTTGAATAATACATACACAACTCAAGAGGCCAAGAACGGGCTGAAGCATGCTGGTAAGGCGGCTTCTCAGATTTCTGAACATTGCCGCTGATGAACGTTAGGTTGTCGAGTCTTGTTTACAGTACCAAAGATTGGAAAACAGAGCACCGAAAGACTTATCTCTGATTTAGGGCCATTGCCAAAGCACAATGGCACTTCTGAATTCTTGGATAAGGTCGTGATGTTGAGGGGTGCTCGAGATGGATTTATGAACTACGATGGACTGAAACGTCAAGGCCGAGAAAGTTCAATGGCAGAATTCGAGAGAGTAAAGAGTATGGTAAAGCCGGACGATATCGTAAACTTGCAATTCACAAGCGGATCGACTGGAAGTCCAAAAGCTGCAATGCTTACACACTTGTAAGTATAATTTTATCTGGATTCGGGAAAAAGATCCTGACAGTTTTCGACAGCAATTTAGTTAACAATGCCAACTCAATCGGCGACCGATTGGCCTTCACACCACAAGATATCTTGTGCTGTCCACCACCGCTCTTTCACTGCTTTGGTCTCGTACTTGGAGTATTGGCAGTTATCACACATGGCGCAAAAATCATTCTCCCAGCGGAAACATTCGATGCTTCTGCGGTACTGCGCGCGGTATCAGATGAGAAGTGTACTGCACTCCATGGTGTCCCAACCATGTTCGAGGAGATTTTGAGTCTTCCACGACCAGAGGGCTTTAACTGTGACAGTCTGAGAACAGGAATAATAGCAGGTGCTCCAGTACCAAGACCTTTAATGAAGAGATTGTTGACAGAACTCAATATGAGAGAATACACTTCTAGTTATGGTAAGCTATAAAGATCATGATGGAAGCGCAAATGACTAACATATTCGATAGGATTAACGGAAACTTCGCCCACTTGCTTCAATGCCTATACATATGATACTATCGACACTCGTCTGGCAACCGTTGGACAGATCCTTCCACATCTTCGTGCTAAAATTATCGACCGAGATGGAAATATCGTCCCACAAGGTGCAAGAGGAGAGCTTTGCATATCTGGATACTCGCTGCAAAAAGGATATTGGAATAATGAGGAGAAGACGGCAGAAGTAATGGTTAGAGATGAAGATGGAATCCTGTGGTTGAAGACAGGAGATGAAGCTTCCTTCGACGAGAGAGGATATTGCTCCATCACTGGACGTTTCAAGGATATTATTATCCGAGGTCAGTTATCCTCCCGTTGTACGATTCTTCTTATGAAACTAATCATTGACTAGGTGGTGAAAATATCTATCCCCTTGAAATCGAAACTCGTCTCGATGCTCACCCTGCCATCTCTCGAGCTATTGTCGTTGGGATTCCAGACCCCAAATATGGAGAAGTTGTTGGTGCATTCCTAGATATTGAAGAAGATTCAGCCGCCGTCAAAAAGAAGTTATCGGATGCAGAGATAAGAGAATGGACAAGAAAAGAGTTGGGATGGCACAAAGCTCCTCACCATGTATTTTGGTTTGGAGAGGAGGGATTGAAAATGGAAACCCCAAAGACGGGTAGTGGAAAGGTTAAGAAGTTTGAGTTGAGAAGCGAAGGAGCCAGGATTGTTAAAGAGAGGGGTATGGTGCCCAAGCCTAACTTGTAGATTAAATTATGGGCCAGAGAGACTGTCATTGAAGGTTTTCGATTGGTTGTCAGATGTAAATAGATTAGTTTTGTATATATGGTAGTACGATCTTCCTGTCTGCATTTTTCTCCGTAGTAACGCGCTTGTAGGCATTGTATAGTGCTAATCGTTAGTCTTGTATTATCCCACACAAATATGGGGACAGTCGACCTTAAGTATCTGATAAGGTTAATTCTATATTATTCAGCTCCAGTCTATACATTCGAGTTAGTAGCAACTAAAGTTATTAAGACAAGATTTAATACTTGATTGTGATAACGATATATAAACAGAGATGACGAAGTGGAGTACTAGCAGCTGGAATTTTATTGGAGACGTCGAAGAAGAATAAGCGCGAATGTGTGATCCAATTAGAATCAGACTTTGAAAGTATAGACGCTTAGCATGCTTAGCTAAGTTGGCGTAGATCATCTTTAATATTCAGCTAGATCTGCACATTCTACCTAGATTCGCTCGTGCTTGTATCCATGTATCGAGAAGAACGAGATATGAGACCTTAAAAGGAAGGCAAGCTATAGTACTTTTGATATCATACAGATACCATCAGGATTTCTTGGGGGTAATCCTCGAGCTTCATGGTCTAGCTCGTCTCCCATATTATATGGTGTATCTCCAAACGTTGCATCATCTCCCTCATCTTTTTGCTGAAGCTTCATTTCCGGGGTATAGGTATCCGCTGTTAAGCCTCGTTCCGCATCTCTAGCGTCCCTACGATCGTTCTCCATCTTGTGATAGGTCATCATGAAAGCTGTCAAAACAAAAGCCAAAGACAATAGACTGATGAATATTGTATGTCCTTCGATGAATCTAAAACTAATAGTCAGTATAGATGAATCATTGGAGAACTGAGAAGCTGCCAGTAGAATTGATGCACTAAAGTGGTATAAAATCTTACCTAGGACCATCCACGGAGCGGATAGATGAAAGCTGCTACGATACCCCCGAAGTTGGCAAAGCCAACGACCATACCGAAACCGACTCCTCTCTTTAGACTTCCACTTAGATTATTTCCTACCCAAGTGGTAAGAAGGGAAAGAGTTGGAAAGACACCTACACGATTATTGACATAAGTATATAGTTTGATTTGGTTATGGTGCTTTGCTTACCAAGCGCTGCAAAAAAAGTGCCCGTGTATTGAACAGGTGTCTTATTACTGGTGATAAGTAGTGCGGAGCCAGCTATTCCCACAGCCAAGAACCCTAGAATAAAACAACCCCTGTGTTGCATCTTGTCGGCAAAAAAGCTGGCAGAGATCGTAAAGAAACATGCGACGACGTAAGGAGGAACAGTCATCAGTTGTGCAGCATTATTGGTGTATCCCATATCTTTCACAATTGTGGGTAAGAACAAAGACAATGAATATACTGGCGTGGACAAGCAAAAGCTCAACACCATGTTGACATATATTTTCCAGTCTTTCAAAGCTTGCCAGACGAATTTTGAATTCCAGTCATCAGAGAGAAGATTTCGATCAATCGCAAGTCGTCTCGTAACCTCTTTTCGCTCCGTTTCCGAGAGGAATTTTGCACTAAGTTCACGTAAGTTTTACACCCAACGATATGCATGAAAAATGACATGGGGACTTGTCATATACTTATTTGGGTAATCTCCGATGGCCCAGTATGATATGCACCCCACAAAAAAGGTAAGAAGCCCTTCGACGATGAATATCCATGCCCATCCATCTTTACCACCTACTCCAGACATTTCGGAAATCCCACGGGCGAATAACCCACCAAATGCTCCTGCTGCTGTTGCCATAGAAAAGAATAGTGCTGTGCGAAAGCCACATTCATTTCGAGGATACCACATGGTGATATAATATACTACACCTGGATACAAGCCACCTTCTGCGACGCCCAAAAAGCATCTGGCAACCAGAAAGCCCGCATAGTCGTGCACCAAGCCCGTGCATACCATAACAATTGACCAAAATAATACAATTCCCGTCAACCATATATTTGGACGAACTTTCTTGATTATCATATTGCTAGGAACGCCGACTGCAATATAAAATGGGAAAAATACAGACAACGCGATGTTGTAGTCGAGGCCGGTCATGTGAAGGTCTTTTTCCAGTCCTTCAAGTCGTGCATTGCCAACATTGGCACGATCAAGAAAGCATACTCTGCCCAGTGTTAGTAATCAGTAAAACTAGACAAATTGGTAAATTATTATACAGATATATAGTAGCAAGAATTGGGATGAGACGTATATCAAGCTTCCGAACCAGGCTTTTCGTCGCAGCATCATCAAATCCTGTAGCAGCTATAGAGTCACCAGAATGGGACTCAGACATCTTCTCTTCCACATAAATTTGAACTCCATCAGGCACTCTAGAACTCATTCTATCGTGTCCTTCTGAAATTGTTTCTTCCTCATCGTAAAATTGTAGTCCGGCAAGGACGCCTGAACTTATTCTGTGAAGGGCAGTCGACATATTGCTTATTGGTTCAAGATTAAATTTTAGGTATGGAATGAGATCTCCGGTATCATAGGGTTTTTATGAAGTATTAATAGATTTCTGATATGGCATAAAGTGGCACCGTGGGGGCGCACTGAGTGAACATACGCAACCCCAAGCAACCAACCACATTAAATGAGATTCAACACAAGTTATAAAATATAGCAACATGCAACGCAACAGAGTGCATGTGCACATTACTGTAGTGAAAGAGAAAAATGACGTAAACATCGTGAATTAGTATGCAGGCAGATTGTGAAGTGACCTTATAAGCTGCAAGTATTTCACCTGCGTCTTGGGTGTCCATTGAGTCTTCGAAACTGCCATATAGACAACTCATTTGGAACACTAATGAACCTTCAGAAGGTCGCGAGTCCAACGCTACTCGATGATTGTTGTGAAAAACAAACACATGAAATAAAGAATATTCTTTATGGACACGAGCGTATGGAAGAGAGCTTTGATTTTTGAGATGCTCTTTAAAATTTCAATTACGGAAGCATCCGGATACAACGTGACAGAGAAGATATCAAATGTCCAACGACAGATGTAACCAGCGGCTGGGACGACATGATGAAGATAAAGTCATCCAAATGGGGCGAGTATCTCGAGGGAAATTCACCACAAAAAAGCGAATCAGGTTTCAGGTTGCCACGAGAATGAAAAAGGTCCTACGTGAGATACTAGTATGATCATGGAGCCTTCAACATCTTAGCGACGAAAATGGTTTGGAAATGCCTGTACACACCACGTACTACTGCACAACAAAAGGTTCAGCTTGAATATAATGTGTGACATGAATACACAGTGGTCCCTCTGGCGAGAAAGAATAAGATGAACCATCTTTCGAACCAAGATATACCGAATATCGATCATCTTGAGACATGTCCCAATGACAGTTTGTGCTGCACTTGCTGCACCCTTGCTTCGTGATTAAAAATGCATGGAAAGTTGTGAAACCAATCGAGCTGTCATTTTTGAAGAGACAAATAAAGTATAGATAGGGTTTCGGAGTAAAAGTACGCAATGAGTTACATCTGTGACCTTCTAATTGAAGTGAACGTGGTGAGAAAGTTCTCCTGAAGTAATTAGGTAGGTAATGATGTCCTCAAGCTGACTTCAGGGTGGAACTAAAGCTCTTGATGCCTGAGGCATCAAATACTCCAAGCTCGAGGCGCGTCCGCTTTTGATCGCAATGTTTGTAACTCGGTGGAGTCAACAGAGGAACATACCTAAGTCACTCGATATGGCTCTACCTTTACCACCTGGTTTAACGCCAATGGAGGTTGCATTTCTATGCGAAATGGAAATGGTCACAGTCGTTCCTCGGCAACGCCTTGAGAGCCTCGATTTATTAGGTGTAAGCTACCCCGCCATTACCCCTCCAACAACAGTAACCAAAACTTAAAACTTATATCAATTTGGTATCTATAGGGCAAGACAATTTCTCTAAGGCCGCCGCATCGTGCTCCCTTACCTTTATGGCTAGCTCTACTTCTCAAACGACAACGTCGTGCCAATATCATACCACCACCATGGCTTCATCCTCATTCCCTTGACAGAATACTCAAAATGGAGACTGATAATCCTGAGAGCTTTTCTCCTCCACCACCACTCGACCATAGCACATCATCTACAGTATCACCGCCATTTCTACCGTCGAATACCGCAGACTCAGAGCCTGGTTATTTACCATATCATTGGATTGATATGGGTGAAATTCTACTGGAAGCTGCAAGTGATGATATACAAGACCCAGATAAAGTTCGGGAACTACTTAGAGATCTACGGGAAGTGAGGATGGCAAAAATGAGAAGCAGTACTTTGGTGGTAGAAGGGGGTGGGCTCACCAGTCTACAAGGTGTTGGCGCAATGGAGGTTAGTGAGGGACGAGGATTCATCACAGGTGTCATGGATGGACTACGCAAATTAGGAGCTTCTAGGGAAGTTTCCAGACGGGAAAAAGAACAAGAAGGTGCCGGAAGTGGAGGTGACGGAGATAGTGAGGACGAAGATATGGGATTATGATCGGGGAAAACTCGATCCGCAACATTTATGATGAACTGCATATATTTCACGAGCATCGGCGTTGGAAGGATATCATGGCATATACCAGGCTTACAGTGACCGTGCACTTCTACTTGGTCGATCTCAAAAATACACCAACAAAAGCCATTTTATTACTTTTTAATAAATAGATTATGATTCTTTTGAATAATTTTATTATATTGTAATTTATGAAATCGATAATTTATAAATTAATAAAATTGAATATTATCGTAGGTCATGAGCTAGTATATGAGTATATAGTATATAAGAGGGAATAGACTAATATTAGTCTATTATGAGAAGCTGGCTCGTATTAATAACTAAATAGCTATGAAACACGTGATTTTCATGAAACAGTATATGATATTCTTATTTTCTTTTTCTATATTCGAGGGGAAAAGGCCTTATTTTATGCTTTTTCCTACTAATCTAGCTTTCCACTTTCGTTTATCTCTCGTAGATCTCTTCCTAATCCGGCCATTCCATCAAATAAAGCTTTTCTTTCTTATTCCTTATTCGATTTCGCTAGTACTATGTCGATCTTACTACGAATGGATTGAAAGAACTAATAAAGAGCTAATAAAGAATTGATTTTCAGGCCGTTCTGGGCTAAGAGCTCTCTTAAGCGACGATCATGTGATTTGATCATGTGATCTTGTGATTCGCTCTTAGTATACTATATGAATATAGAACTATATATAACGTAACTTATGGTGAACCGGGTCATATGGGGGACCGGGTCAGGTACCTTTACACACCAAAATTTGTATGTAAAGGTACTTAGAGCGACTTTTTATATCTCTATGGATATTAAAGATAATTTTAATTTTTTTGATAATTAGGCTTAACATCTAATAAAAATGTAGTATTAAAGTTACAGAACACTTTTTAGTAATATTGTTCTTGAATTAATACGATTTTAAAAATTCTCATAGTAATTTTTGTTAGACAAAAACAACAATTTGAAAGAAACTTTAATATCTTTATTAAAAAGATTATATCTCTATCCAATTTTGTTATATTAAATATTTATATTGAATATATCATACTTCAAAATATCGAAACTATATCTCTAGTATTTATAGAGTTATAAAAAATCGCTCTAAGTACCTTTACATACAAATTTTGGTGTAAAGGTACCTGACCCGGTCCCCCATATGACCCGGTTCACCATAAGTTACGTTATATAAAAAGATATATTATTATATTATTTTTTATATAAAAACAATAAATATAAAATCCAATTTTATTTAAAGTTATTACAAAATATGATATATATTTTTGAAATCTTGATATCAAAAAGTTCTTGAAAATTCGCTTATTTTTGCTATAAATTTTAATAATCCAAAATCTTAAAACTTTAAATCAAGATTTTAGACAAAAAGACCATTGTCCTCCGCAAGGAGCCCGGCTGGTTCAGTGGTAAAGTGATCGGGCCACTCTCCCACTGTTCTACGACTTAAGACTATAGCAACGAAATTTTCGTATATATAGGCTAATCCTTATCTTTGGGATCCACATAGATTTATTCTATATACCGTCTTATAAGCCACCTTAGTGTGAATCTTATAACACAGCTCTTCTGAATTTCGATAATCTACCGCTAATCCTAATAAAGTTTTTTTATTATAAACCGCAAAAGCAATCGATCAAGTGCTAAGGAGGAACTAATGATCCCCCCTCCAGTTACCACCACTACGCCTATACACTACTCCGCTATCAAGCAAAACCACCATTCCGGCTGCTCTTCTTAAGCAGTCTAATAACTGAACTTTTTGCTCCTCTAAAGCACCATTATATATATACTCGCTTTTTTAAAGCGGTATACCTATACATATTGCTTTTGTTTATAAAATATGATTCTATGATAGAAATAATTATACAATCAAAGCGCTCCTCTTTATAAGCAGAAGAAAGCATTAGGAATATAGGGCTAATCAAATGACCCTATTTGCGATCATTACATTGGCTTGTTTAGGATATATAGAAGGAACTGGATTTACCCTATAAGATTTTACTAGCATACGCATCAGCGCCTTTTTGTATTTGTAACTCTAAATCTAGTCACATCTTTCATACCCCTCGGGAGGTCCTCCACAAGACGTTAATCACTATAAATAAAATAATAAATAATAAATCAAGATTTTACAACACATAAATTCTTTAAAAATAATTCGAATAATTTTTTTTAAAATAGTGTATAGAAATATTATAAAAATATAAATATCTTTATAATAAATATTTTATTTTTATTAAAACTATATATATTTAGATAATGAGTTTTGGTGCAAAATAGCTGTCGACCAAGTAGAAGTGCCCTAGTACTGTATATTGTACTATTGGATGAGGCGCAAAAGATTTTTGCCATGAGGATATAATATACAGGAATTACACGAGACTAGGTAATATCTTGTACTTGATGGCGCATTTACCATCGATCCATTTTCGCGCGCTCAGTGCCGGGAAATCCCAATACTATTGGATTTAGATGAGGGTTCCTATGGACATGGGCAAGGTGGGATTGATCTTCAATGCCGAAATGCACGATGAAGTGATCTTCATATCATCGTACATACCTTTCTCGTTTGTTGTCTCATTGGTCATTGTTCAAGCGGAGAAATGCAGTAGTCTTGCATAATTATGTGTATTGAATGTCAAAGTTGGCTATCCATCATTATCTTGAGGCACATTGCACCAAAAAATGCATAAATCACTGCTGGATATGAAAGAAGCCGGTGAGATATCAGAAATTGCATGGCTATGCACCCTCAGCAAGAGACGGAACGTTGTGTTATAACCGTCTTTACAACCGTATTTATTTAACATCTAATTCGTCAATCGGCGAGGCGGCGTTTGAAAGGTGTAACGGAAAGTCGGCGCGGACTTACAAATGGTGGAAAACTGCCGATATCAACAAACTCCGTATCCGTGGTTGTAACCAGGGGCTATAGTTGATATATCACTAAGTGCCGTATATAAGTTGGTGATATCTTGAAATATAAAATAGTTAAATCACTTTACATTTTAAGATAATCCAGCTTGAGCGATACAAAATGCATTTCATCGTTATTATCATCACAGTGGTCATAGCACCCCTATTACACTTTCTCGGTTGTTGCATTTATAACCTATTCTTTCACCCTTTGAAATCCTTCCCAGGGCCAAGACTATGGGCAGCTTCCAGAATACCTCTCTCATATTGGAAATTCAAGGGTATTCTTCCATACAAGATCAAAGAACTTCATGACCAATATGGTGATGCGGTTAGAGTTGCTCCCAACTATTTAGATTACGATTCATCTGTCGCCTGGGAAGACATTTATGGTTTTGTGAAAGAGAATCACAAGAAGAATTTCCCAAAGAATCTCACGGAACGAACTTCCACGGTAAATAATCAAGTCCAAAATATGTAAGTTATCATTCCGACGTACTAGATTTGTAAGAGCTAATGTTCGTGATTGAAAGAATAACAGCAGACGAAGAAAATCATCGAAGATTTCGTCGCCTTCAATCACATATATTCTCCGACAAAGCCCTCACATCACAGGAACCTCTTATCCAAGATTATGCTCGACAATTTATCTCTGGACTTATCAAGTTTTCTTCTCTCAATTCAGACAATAGCATTAACATCGGTCAATGGTATAACTTTGCTACCTTCGATTTGATTGGTGACCTTGCATTCGGAGAGCCTTTTGATTGTGTCAGGACTGGAGAAACACATCATTGGATTGACTTAATCTTTCAAGCCTTCGAAATCAACACTTTGGTCAATGAGGCAAAAAAATACCCAATTATTGGGGCTATCGCGCTCTTTTTGGTTCCGAAAGATATAATTGGTAGATTTCCACGTGTTAATCAACTCACAAGGGAAAAAGCGTATCGACGACTCGATACACCGAGAGTTGTACCCGATTTCATGAGCTATATCATTAAGCACAATGATACAGATAAAGGAATGACTCGTGAGGAAATCGGAGAAAATGCAACTATATTAATCCTTGCTGGTAGTGAAACGGTATTTAATATCTCCATCTCATTGATTTGAATAACCTTACTAACACGATTAAGACTGCATCCCTTCTCAACGGCTTAACATACCATCTCCTCAAAACCCCCACCGTTCTCCAAAACCTTGCTATCGAATTAAGAACTACCTTCCAAACCCAAGAAGATCTTACTCTCCACGCTCTCGCTTCATCTAAATACCTCAACGCAGTCCTCGAAGAAGGCCTCCGCATGTATCCTCCCGCCCCATCTACTCTCCCCCGTATAGTCCCAAATGGTGGAAGTCTAGTTGCTGGCCAATACGTTCCTACCGGAGCAACCGTCGGTGTCAATCCCATCAGTTCCCAACTTTCCGCAAAGAATTTCCATCTCCCATATGAATTCCATCCTGAGAGATGGCTCAGTGCCGCAGATATCGTGGAATTGAAATCAGCGTTCCCGGATATGAAGCTAATTGATCCGAAAATGTTTGAGGGTGATGATAAGAAAGCTCGTCAACCGTTTAGTACGGGACCCGCAAATTGTATTGGGAAGAATTTGGCGTATGCCGAAATGAGAATTTTGCTGGGGAATGTGGTATGGGGATTTGATTTGGAGGGGGCGAGGGATAGTGAAAGTTGGTTGGAGAGGAATCGGATTTATGGGTCGTGGAAGAAACCGGATTTGTGGGTTAAGTTGAAGAGGGTCAATGTTTAGGTGATGGAGATAGCGATCGAGATGGGGATGGGGATATGCGATCTGAAATGTGCGATTGAGTATTTGAGGAAAAGTCAAGGATAGGATGTCATAGCGAGGGAGTTGATGAAGATTCATCGCATATATATCATTTTTCATATGTTTCATTGGAGGAGTTTATAGAATTTCGAGATAGGTTCTCATTTGTTATGGTATTGGGTTTTTTTTTCTTTTGTTGTAATATTTTTTCTGTTAAAAGTCTTTTACTTTTATAGATATATCGAAAAATACATACACACACACACACACACACACACCACCATCAAATATTCCTTTCATCTCGCCCCCCTTTCTGATCCGAGATTATTCACTCCCTCTAATCGAACCATTGATAATTTTCATCGGCCTATTCCTAGCTAGTAACTAGGAAGCGAGCGTATAATCATGAATTCTAGTTCTTCTTCTGCTGTTGTCCTCACTCTGTTTTATCTCCATATATCGTGAATTAGATTCATCATAGTGTTCTCTCTTCTTTTCTCTTCTGTTCTCGTGGAAGATAAGAAGTAGTCCGATAGGAGGAGATTATTTTTGCACTTCGGAAGGGCAAGATATATGAATCCATATCCAAGTCCTAAAACCCAAAATCAATTTTCAGATACAAACCAAATCCCCAAACCAATTTTTAGATCAAACAACCCAGCCAATCCTCATCTCTCAACTCGTAACTCAGATCCCCACATCATAAAACCATGTCCCGTATAACCAAAACCCGTTCGACACGTCGATATTGCTCTCCTTCTCCCTCTCCATTGCGAGACTCGGACCGACACTACTTTTCATCTCCATCGCCAATGAAATCTCTTTCTCCAGTTAGATATAAATACACGTATATCGATACCACTTCTCATCGCCCTGGGTATGAGGCTGGGAAAGTTGGAAAAGGAGGGAAAGGGGAGGATTGTTATATTTCTAGTTCATCTCCATCTCCATCTTCATCTGCCTCCCCCTCTCCGCCACGTCTTCGCAGAACTCGCTCTGTATCGATACTGCGAAGTGGACCTAGACCTATAAATGTTCAAGGGTATGATCGAGGATATCGGAATGGGGATGAGGATATTAAAGCGCCAAAAAGAGAACCGAAAACATCGATTTCTTACATCAGTCCCAGAAGTCTGAGTCCAAAGATTCGATATTCATACAGAGAGGATGTTCCATATGTTATATATCGAACTTCGAATTCTGGAAGTGGGGAAGATTGGTATGATGATGCCAGGGGTCAGAGTAGGAATGGGAGTAGGAGTAGGGATGAGAGAATGAAAGGGAGGTGTGTGAGGTGTGGGGATGAGGATAGGGATAGGGATAGGGATGGGAGGTGTGAATGTGATGGGTATGAGAGATATACCTATCGTATCTATCAACCATCACAATCATCATCATCAACGCAACCCTCACCAACAACCCACACAACCCGAGTTCATATCAAAAACGTCAAAGACAACGAAAATAGAAACATCGATCTCAATACTCAACACAACAGCAAAAGAGAAGCAGATGTTAGAGTTTCTGTGGAAAGGGAAAGAGAAACGAAATGTGAGAGAGGAGGGTGTGAGGGGGAAAAGAGGGGAAGAGGAAGAGAAAGAGAAGGGTGGAAAAGTATAAGAAATCGAACACCCACGCCTTATTATGAGGGGTTTATTAGGTGTAGGTGTAGGGATGGATGTTGGTGTGGATGTAGGAGGACGGGGAGTTGGAGTAGAAGAGGGGAAAGGAGAGAAGAAAGGAGAAGGGGAAGTTGTGAGAGGGATGTAGAGAGCGAGAGAGTGCTGGAATATAATTATATCTCTCCGATTTCAATACCCATCAGAGATGCAGTTTCAAGATCAAGACTGAGTGGGAGATCTCAGAATTTCAGGAGTCGAAATCGGAACCGAAGTCCGAGAAGATCCAGATCTCGATCTAGATCCAAATCCAAATCAAGAGAAGAAGAAATAGAGAACACTAAAGAGAGGACTCGATATATAACAAGGATAATTGATATTCCTCGAGATGGACCACTATTACAGTCGAGGTCGAGGTCAAGGTCAAGGTCAAGATCGCGGTCGAGATCAAGTTTGAGAGGTAGAGAAAAAGATAAAAGTACGAGTACGAGTAAGAAAAAAACGATTTACTATCTCCCTCGTGTTTCTCATGTTGCTCGCGGTGATGGAGGGAGGAATGGGAGTACGATTAGAGGAAAACATAAACGCAGGGACACATCATCGAGCACTTCCACTTCCGGTAACACTTCCGAGGAAATAGAGCGAGAAGTACGAATTAAACGGAAATATAGTATCAATGGTGGGTTGAGAAATGAAGCGAGAGATCAAGGTAAAGAAGGGGGAAGGGAAGCCAGAGGAGGAAGGGGAAGAGGTGTAAGATTTGTGATTTAAATTTTGCAGAAAAGAAGAAATCAAGTAATGAGTCGAATTTTACGTTTTATTTTCATTTTCTTTGATTTATAAGAGATATAGATAGATGAAATCGATGAAATATAAGATATTAGAGACTTAGTTATCGTATATGTCTGTATTGTATTCTGTCTAAAGAGCTAGCTAATAAGGGGAAATAGTAGGCCTTATATAGGCACTACTGAAAGAGCTAGTCTCCTTCGCATTCGCCTAAATACCTTTGATATAGTAGCCATTGTATTGAAATCATTCTTTTGAAGTGAATTCCCTTGTTCACATACTCGAAACTCTCTTTTATAACTTCAAATACAATAACTAAAAAGAAAGTATCCATTGATCTAATGCTCTATCCCCATCTTGAATATATATCTTTTATAGAACTATCTAATTTTATTGAAATCTTTTGGAAAGAAATAATTCTGAAATTCTTCTTTGAACTTCAAATCCTTAATAGTTTCCTGAGTTTTTCTTTTTTCAGCTATTACTTTGTCAGAAATATAGGGATTGAAAGAAACAAAAAAATAAAAAAAAGCATTAGTTATATCTTTATAGAAAAAGGTTTTGAATTTCTATTATAGAGAATCGGTATTGTTAGTTATCGTATCAATAAATCCTTCTATATCAATGAATTGATCGAATAAAACAGGTTTCTTACCAGCATTAAGTTTCTTATTAATTTGCTTAAAACTAATACTAACACTTACCCAAAATATCATAATACTAACAACAGGAAATAAAAGAAATAAAAGTAAGAAAGTATTTCGAATAAGTAAGTTAAGTAATTTGTGATATTACTAATTAGTATTAGTTCAATAATGAGATCAGAAATACAGGAGACATGATTCCCACTATCAATAGGCCTCTAAATGTCTATATTGTATTCTGTTTAAAGAACTAGCTAATAAGGGGAAATAGTAGGCCTTATATAGGCACTACTGAAAGAGCTAGTCTCCTTCGCATTCGCCTAAATACCTTTGATACAGTAGTCATTGTATTGAAGTCATTCTTTTGAAGTGAATTCCCTTGTTCACACAGTATATATTGTAATGTTTTGTATATATATGTATATGTCACGCGCTTTACAAGAGGCGATATGAGAATAGCTTCAAAGATCAACAATTACATAAAAGAACTAACGTGGTTTATCATCATGTGGGCCATATCATCATATGGGCCACTTTCACCTCAATTATCGTATTTAAACCTATATTATTCCACAACTATCAAATCAATTGATTGAAACTATTAAGAATCTAATAATCTAAAATCTATTACATTGATTTGACAAGTTCTTGAATTATGATCTGATCTTCCATACTTACTATAATATCGACTAGAAGATACTTCCCTATTGTGACACTTTGCCTTAGAAGAACTGTAAGAGCAGGGTACAATTTATTCTTAAAATCTATAACTACAGAATCGGAAGCAAAGTACTTGTAAAACGTTTTTATATATTAGTTATATATATATAATCGTATATATATATAAGTATATATATATAATCGTATATATATATAAGTATATATATAAGTAATCACAACTATAATTGAGTGCAATCCATAATACTATTCAGAAAAATGGATTTTATTTTAATGGACATGGTTACCATTGGACCAGCCATACCCCTTAGGGCTCTGGCATCGAACTTATAATACATGATATATGCCTATTTAGGCTAGCACCTTCCTCTTATTCCTCTTTTCGAAAAAGCTTGTTTTTAAGCTTTACAATTACTTAATCTATAAATACATCAGCGATCCCAATAAGATATCATTGTTTATATTGTAAAATAGTATGATAAACAGGTGTATGTGCGAATTTGCTTTTTTCGCGACGGGAAGGCGTATGGAAAATGGAGGAAACCGTTCTGTAGCCTAGTGTTACAACGGATTAGTAACAGGCTGTAGAATCACTGACTTATAGGCTATAATGGTATTATAGGCCTCAGTGATTCAGCTGCAGTATACCGGGGGACACTAGGCACCCAAGGAAAGTGTGTGAACAAGGGAATTTACTTCAAAAGAATGACTTCAATACAATGGCTACTGTATCAAAGGTATTTAGGCGAATGTGAAGGAGACTAGCTCTTTCAGTAGTGCCTATATAAGGCCTACTACTTCCCCTTATTAGCTAGCTCTTTAAACAGAATACAATACAGACATTTAGGGGTTTACTAATGATAATGGGAATCATGTCTTCTGTATTCCTGATCTTATTATTGAACCAACATTAATTAGTGATATCACAAATTACTTAACTTACTTATTCGAAATACCTTCTTACTTTTATTTCTTTTATTTCCTGTTATCAGTATTATGACATCCCGGGCAAACACTAATATTAGCTCTAAGCAAGCTAGCAAGAAACCCAATACTGGCAAGAAACCTGTTCTATCCAATCAATCCATCAGTATAGAAGGATTTATTGATACAATAACTAATAACACCAATCCTTTACAACAAAAGTTCAAGATTTCTTTCTATGAAGATATAACCAATATTCCTCCTTATTCTCCTACTCCTTTCAATCCCTATATTCCTAACAAAGTAATAACTAAAGAAAGAAAAACTC